GTCCCTGCGCTCGCCGCCAGCTGGTGGGCTGACGTCCCTGGTGGGTTTTTCTTTTTTTAAGATTTATGGCTGCACACAAGAACTGGGGTGCAGGCCAGTGGTGGGGGGTGAGGACTTCCCAGAGTGGGAGCAGAGCAGGCGGCTCCACTGAGACCCACTGTGAGGGGGTGGCGGGGGACGGGAGGGTCTGCTGGGCCTGGGCCAGCTGCGCAGGCTGAGACTGACCCTGCCCCCCGGGGCCCAAGCCCTGGCGATTTCTGGTGCTGGTCCTGCCCCCCAGGCAGCCGTGCCGGGACCTGTCTCCAGCGCCACCCCGGTGTGTCCCCTGCTCCTGCCCCATGCCGGCTGAGAGCGTCGTGGCTGTGGGTGAGGGGCCCCGGGGCGCTGCACCCCCAGGGGGGCTGCTGTTGCCCTGGGCTGTGCAGGTGCAGGCCCAGGCACCCCTCCAGGAGGGGCCAGAGGTCGCGAGGGCTGGCATGTGCCTGGCACGTGGGGTCTTGGGAGGCGGCCGTAGTTGGCCGGCGGGCGGGTCGGAGGCCTTTGCTGGGGGTGGACATGGGACGCCTGAGAGCCAGGCCCCGTGCGGCTGGTGGGGCCCGTGGCCCTAAGGGCGTGTTCTGGCCTTGCTGAGGTCCCCGCCGGGGTGTGGGGTGCAGGGTGGGCAGCACAACAGCCAGTGCCTGCGTCCCGAGCACACCCCTCAGTCGTGGCGGCCAGCGCTGGGCCTCAGCAGCACGGGGTCCGCAGGGCTGAGGGCCGGGGGCCTGCAGGAAAGGGGAGCCCGGGCAAGGGGGCTGCCAGGCCGGAGGGGTCTGCCGCGGGGTCAGCCCCAACCTCCGTGGCACCCCTAGGGCCCCTGGGGTCTGCTCCCCCTCCCTGGCTGTGTCGGCTGTGGGGGTGACCGGCCCCCTATGCCTGCCCAAGGCCAGAGGGACGCCAGCTCCGCGCTGCAAGTGCCGCCGGGCCTGCGCCCGCCCCCCGCCTGCACCGCCGCCCTGGGCGCGCCCCACTGGCCGAGCGGCTGCGTCCCACCTGGGCCAGCGCTGGCCGCCGGTGCCCTTCACTGAGGCGACGCCCCTGTCGGCAGAGTGGCCACGAGGGACACTGTCCGTTCGCGCTGACCCCGTGCCCCGCGTGTAAGGGCCTGGTCCGCCAGGGAGACAGGGAGCAGCACGCGGAGCGCGAGTGCCCGGGAGGGAGCCTCAGCTGCCGGCACTGCAGGGCGCCCTGCTGCCGGGCCGCCGTGGAGGTGAGGGGCCCCGGGG